CCAACAGTCTAACGGCCGGATGACTTTAAAGCATCCAGAATCACCTTCATCTGATCTCTCTCTCATTAACTCGGTCCGCTTCACAAAAAGGCTCCAATTCAGCAACATGCAGCTTCCCCCACTTCTTATACAACAAATCTCTTTTGTTGCAATAAGGTTCCGACATTATCAAACCACAATCTCTTTTAGTTTTAATATATCAGAACTTTTCTCTCATTTCTGCATGTTTTTCTTCTTTAATTAATTTCCAGACTAGGGTTTCTGGGTTGTTTTAGTTTTAATATATCAGAACTTTTCTCTCATTTTTGCATTATTTTTTCTTTAATTTGTGTATGGGACCCTGTGGATCGCTTAGATTTTTTTTAAAGAAAGAATCTCTTGTTTTGATGCACAATTGCACATTTTATTAACCAAATCCGAATTAGAGACACAAAAGCCAAAAGTGTGCACACATGAATCATTCATTCTATGTATGAAAAAGCAGAAACAGTGAAACATTAAATTAAAACCAGATAAGCAAACCACATATATAGATTAAAAATACAAAGCGAAATACACAGAATTAAGTACTTTTGGGAGGACTTTAAAAGAAAAGGTACTATTGGGAGGAGTAGAAAAGCTGCTGAATCATATGCATTACAATGGTGTTTGATATTGTTTGAGGTGATGAAGTGAGAATTAGAGATCTATTAGGGTTTTGGGGCTTGGGATGCCAAAGCTAATTATGAGGAAGGAGGACGGTGAAAAAATGAGCCAAAGTAGACTACTAAACGATCAAACATCATGCGTTTCACTGATTTTCTCTTGGCGGGAAACACACTCCGTACTTTTGGCTTGAACCATGAGTAGTATTGCGTCTCCTGCAGAACCATCATCTTTATTTCCCGATCATCTGGATTCTTCTGCTTCTTCATCCCTTTCTCTTCAGCCTCTTCAATATTTGCCCTCACTGCCATCTCTCTCTCTCTCGTGTAACGTATATGTGTATGTTGTTTCGGTTGCGGGTTTCTTTGTTTTGGTTGTGGGTTTCTTGCTCTAAGAAGAGGGGGTTTAAATAATGAAAAAGAACAACTAATGATGATATGACTAGATGAAAGGACAACCCAAAAATCAACTCAGGAAACAACGACATGCATGAGGACGAGACAAATAAAATCACTTTCAAAAATGAAAGTGGGATGCATTTACAAATGACACGTGGTTTTGGTGGCCCACTGCCCATACTTTCATTGGAGTTTCTTGCACTGCCCACTTGCGGGAACATGATATTTTGGGAAGATTGATTAGTATTTTCAAACCAACTAACAACTAGAAAAAACATGTAATATTGTCAATATAAAGAATATACGGAAGAAAGTGATTGAGTTTGAGGAAAAAGGTAACAAAAAGCTATATGAAAGTGGTTGTAAATCTTCATCCTTTAAGGAGACATCAAAATTGCAATTTGGACTATAACAAAGTCTCAAGTTTATTTGTGAATCCACTCTATTATTCAAGACATTTGATATTTATCAAGACAAATTTATGGCATACAATTTCAACATACATATAGATAAATTCATTTTTTTGCAAGAATCAAATATAAGACATGTCACTTACAAGTGAAGGAATATCATTAGACCATAGTACTAAATAGCAAATCAACAGTAATTTTGAAAATAAGTGTTTATAGGTCAGTTTCATAATTGGATAGATGAAAATTTTGAAAATAAAAATGATAAAGAAAAAATAGTAATTATGTGAGGAATTGTTCCCATTATATGAGATAATTAAAAATACATACCAACTGAAATATGGATAGTTTAATATGCATAATTTTATTTATATAGTTTACTTTTGTTTCAAACCTCGGCGGTTCAAGGAAATTTTTTCATTACGAAGATACAATGCGTAAATTTAAAAGAATTAAACATATTCATTTTGAGTTATATATATTATTGGGCTTTTGACATAAACTTATGTGTCACTTTCTTTTATGCCTTTATTGATTTTTTTTTACAAATAATAAAATAATCTCACGAAATATATTTGTTATATATATTATTGGGCTTTTGACATAATCTTATGTGTCACTTTCTTTTATGTCTTTATTGATTTTTTTTTTACAAATAATAAAATAATCTCACGAAATATATTTGATGGAGTTTTAATGAAATGGGCCTCTAATTTTTTTTAACCAAAAATCATCTAATAACTTTATTTAATAAAAAAACTTGAATTTTAATGAAAATGAAAAAAAATTAATATAATAAAAAATTAAAAAAGCTTACACTATTTCTACAATTGTTCACACTATTTCTAAAATTGATCACACTATTTCTAAAATCAATGCCACTAAATCTAGAAACAACGATACTATTTCTAAAATCGATGACATTATTTCTACAATCGGTGCCACTAAATCTAGAAACAACAACACTATTTCCAAAACAACGACACTATTTCTAGAATTGGTGCCATACGGTGAAACTATTTATAGAAATAATGGTCACTATTTTTTGTAAAATTAATTTACAAAATTATACTTTTAAAAAAACAATCTCAGTATTATATCAATGTGTCCTTTTTTAGACAATTCCACTTAATAATAATTTCAATTTAATATTTTAAATTTTGATAAAAGCAAGTTTTAAAATAATAAATCAACAGAATAAGTTCTAATTTTACACACACACACACACACATATATATATATATATATATATATATATTATCTCTAAAATTACATTAATGAACCCCTCTTTGTCAATCAAAAGATGATGAAAAGACATCTTTATCTTCTATCACAACAAAATAGTTAAGGACAGTAACATAATTTTACATTACAAAATTTTACTTTTTTTTTAAACCTCACTTGCATATAAATTTATCATCTCTAAATTTGTTTTTTTTTTTTAAATAACCTACCTCCCACTCTCCTCACTCACAAGTTCTTTCTCACTCTCTTCCTCTCTCACTTTCAATTTAACAACCAAATTTAAAAAAATTCACACACCGTGTGGGCATGTACTAGTATATATTTTTATAAAGAGAGAGAATGAACATGAAGAGAGAAGAGAGACAAAGGGGTGGGGGCCATGTGGAAGATGACAGAGGAGAAGTGGACGGATGGAGGAGAGAGTGGAGAGAGGGAAAGAAAAAGTTGGGGGCGAGGAAAAGAAGGGAGGGAAAGAGAAAAAATAGTAATTGAATTGTTTAATGTTGAGTTTTGTGTTAATTATTAAATAAAATTATTAGATAGTTTTTATTAACTCTCACAGTTTTGAAATTTTTTTTATTAGTTTTCTTTATATTTAAATTATGAAGAAGACGGACGGTTTGAACTCGGGATATGATGGGTTGAAGAAGACGACCACATCCCCTAAGACCAATCTAGCATTACTATGACGTGTTTACGAATCCGTAATCAGAATGAAACAAGGAGTCCGATTCCGATTACGATCACTCTTCTGTTTACTGAAATTAAGATGAATCAATAATGTGTGGGACCTACACGAAAAATGGAATTCAATTCTTGAAAACGGAGGAATTGGACTCCCTCCATGGATCAGGTAATTGAATTCCCGGAGGGTGAGGGAATCAGGAATGCATTTTGCATGCCTAGTATGCCCTCTTATCAATCTGCCTTCAAGAGATCGCATACGAGATCTCGTCTTCGTCGTTCTGGATCGTCGTCGTTCAGGAGGCGATGGACCAAAGGCTTTGACACCGCCGACACACACCGTCGTTCAGGAGGCGATGGCTCATCGTCGTGCGACGTCGCTTTGACGATTGCGACCTTGGTGATGTCGATGCTCGTGTGGTCTTGACGGCTCCGATTGGTTTCTGCATTCATTCTTCTGCGCGGTTTGAAGGTCTTGACGGCTGGGAGCCGTTCTGCGTTTTTTCTTCTACGGGATAAGAAGATGGATGTGGCTTTGTTTATGGCTTTTAATTAGATTATAATTTAATTTATACACAATTAATCAATAATGGACATTTTAACTCTTTACTTTAACTAAATAAATAAAAGTAACTAATAAAATGCATTTAAACATAAATATAGAATAAAATATTTGATTTGGAACAACATTTTAGTAATCATGCTGGTTTATGTTCCGATTCTACTGAATTAGTAAACAATTTTAGTCAACAACTTCAACAGGAATCTGATTCTGATTCCGCCTTATTTCAATTCCTCCTCAATCCAATTTCTCCTCAATTTAATTCCTCTCAATTTAATTACGGATTAGTAAACGCGCCACTAGTGATTATTGATTTCTAGAAACTTTATATAAGAATCTTATAGACAACTTTGAATTGAATTAAAATCATTAGCATGGAAGGGAGGGAAGCTTCCTGGACAATATCCCCATAGATGTGAATGAAGTGACATTTCCAGGATGAAAAATACTCCAGATAACGTGTTAGTTTTGGTTCCCACTTAATGGATAACATCCTATTACGTTCTCAACGAAACGCATGCAGTGACACCAACTTTTCTTCTTCTTCCATGCATCTTCCTTGAGTAACATTCTTTATGACTAGATGTTTGAGGACCAAGGCATTGGCTTCTGTGACACAACTCAAACAGTAAGTCCATATTTTCTTTTACCCACCAACCATGGTAGCCGAAAGAGTGGATTGGAAGAGGAAAAAAGAAGGAACCAGACCTAGATAAAAGAATAGTAAAGAGGAAAAACAATCAGCAACTTTTGAACAATTAGGATTGAAGTTCCAATTTGTTTTCGAGTCCACATATCTTGCCTGAATTGATGCAACCTCAACTTCATTCATCTAGAACTTTATAACCCTAGATTTACGTAATGGTTATGAATCATTCTCAGTTTTTTTTAGTAAGTACGGTAGGGCAGATCGGTACACAACGTTGTGATTTGAATGCTTGAACGTTTTGTTTTGGTTTTGGAAATTTACAAAAAAAATATAAACCCTTTAAAAATCAAAGTAAACGTGGAGACCAGGTCATTCAAAAGAAAGACGAACCTATAAGAACAAAAACATAACAGAAAAAAGCCGAATATTCGCAAACTTAACAAGATTTAGGGAGCTTTATTAATTAGGCTTCGAAATACATCCCAGTCGGGTATTTATTTTGATGAACCAACAAAATTTACCAAGATGCTCTATGTAACTTCGTTTGGCAAAATATTGTTCCTCTAGACAGCTCTAGCATTGCTTAACTCATCAACTGAGTCCCCTCTTTCAAAAACTGCAGCAGCCCCCATACCTGAGCCTGCAACAAGGACACACACACAGTCGCGTTTCTTATTCTCATATCAAGCTCTCAATATTCTACCTTCGTTCATAGTTATATTAGACGGAAGAGCGCAAAAGGATACCTATGCACATGGAGATCACACCAAAGCGGTTATCCTTGCCACGACGCTTCATCTCATTCAGGAGAGTTGCAACACAGCGAGCACCTAGCACACAAAAACAAATACAATATTCGCCTCAGATGACAGAGTGAACGAGTAGTTGTGTCAAAACATATCAGCTTTAGTTTATTGCAGAAATATAAGATAAGAGTCTAATTTAAAACGTCAGTTCGTATACCTGTAGCACCTAAAGGATGCCCTAGAGCAATAGCGCCTCCGTTAACATTGACTTTCTCAGGATCAAGCTCCAATTTCTTGACACAATATACATACTGAGATGCAAATGCCTAAATGAAACCAATAAAACTGCTTGGTCAAAATCTTCAAAGATAAGCTAATTCATCTTGAAGCTTACAGAAATCAATAGCAATGCATTACCTCATTTATCTCAAATAGATCTATATCATCAATCTCAAGGCCAGCAGACTTCACTGCTACCGGAATTGCAGCAGCTGGACCAACTCCCATGACAGCGGGATCCACACCAACAGCAGCAAAACTCCTGCACAGAGATCATAAAGTTGTATCCAAAGTACAAAGAAAGCTTTAGCTAATTCTTGAACATATCCATCTCAAGGAAATTAACAACATTACCAATGAAAAGAAATATTAAGAATGAATAAACCTCTACCAGCCCATCTCTCAATTTTCGGTTTCTTAATAATTAGAGTTCTTTACTATGAATTTGCAGTATCGTATCTGTACTATAAAGTCAACTCGAGAATAGGCAGTCAAGCAATTAAATTGAACAAAAATAATCAACGGCATACCTGAAAACACCAAAAATAGGAAGTCCCTTCTGCATAGCTAAACTTCTCTTCATAAGGAGGACTGCTCCAGCACCGTCACTCACCTGGCTAGCATTTCCTGAAAGACAAAAGCAATGAACTGGTTCACAATGCTTGAAACAAGTTAAAAAAAAAACAAGAAAAAACTTCCTATGTAAAGAAAGAGTTGTGTAAAATTAAACGAAGAAACTGTCCTGCATAACTAGCAGCAAGCTTTATGATAATTGAGTGACAAAATACCTGCAGTTGTAGAACCATCTCGTTTGAATGCAGGCTTTAGTTTTGCCAAATCGTTCATGTTTGCATTTGGACGGAACCCATCATCCACAGAGATTGTAACAGGCCTCTCCTCTCCAGTTTTTGGGTCCACAATCTGATGATACAAATAACCAATTACAAGAAAATAAAACGCCATTTTACTTTTGTAAGACTCTTTGCAAATAAAGGGAGCACATTTTTATATTTACCTTGGTAGATACAGGGACAATTTCATCTTTGAATTTACCAGATGCTGTCGCTGCAGCAGCACGCCTATGTGATTCTACCTGTTCACAAACATTCATGGAATTACAGATTCAGCATTATCAGTTTATCGAACAGTTAATGCATGTTTTAACTTAAAACAGACAGAAAACTCACAGCGGCTCTGTCTTGTTCCTGCCGGGTCACACCATATCGCTGGGCAACATTTTCAGAAGTAACACCCATGGGAAGAAGGCAGTCGCGTGCTTGTGCAAAGATATCCACCTATTGACAACATGTATCAGTTCAAAATAACACCACAAACCAAAATATCAAGTAAAGAAGAAGAGTTAGATTATACCTTAGGGTTAACTTTACTTAATCCGCCAATGTTATCAACTGTCATGGACTCCAATCCAGCTGCAATGCCTGTATTCAAAACAAAGATCAAGTCCATTGATGGAGACCACCTAGCGGCTAATTAGATGCATGCATAATCAAGAGTTTTTCTCACCAATGTCGTAATATCCTGCTTTTATAGCAGCAGCTACATCAGCAACTGCCTGAAGGCCAGATGAACATTGCCTGTTAACAGTTCTAATGGGAACCGTATCTGGACAAAACCAACAAACCATAACACTATAAGCCAAACCAAATACAAAGAAGGGCCTCCAAAACATCAATTAAAGATAAAAACTTACCTGGAAAGCCAGCGTAAAACGCTGCCATCCTGCATTCCATTGCTCTAAGTGAGCCAGGTGCCAGAACTGTACCAACAACTATATCCCCCACCTCCTTTGGGTTCAAATTTGTTCTCTCTATCACCGCCTACATAAAAAGCACACCATATGTCAATATCTAATCCCCCTTTCTATTTGTACATGCGATACTCTACTTTAAGCTAATCTAAATTGTGAGAATGAAGATTCAAACTCGGCTGCATAGGGGGTAATACATTCACAATTTGTAGAAACACATTCATTTCTCTGGAATTAAGTTGGGAATTGTATCTAACCTTTAAAACAGGCGCCAGTAAATCATCTGGCAAAGTGTCCTTAAAACCGCCACGCTTCGCCTTGCAAATGGCAGTCCGGTAGGCTCTATGTAACATGATTTTGCAGCAAGATTCAATACAGAGAAACTATAAAGCTATAAACTTTATTACAAATTCCATACAAAAATAGAATGAGAAAAATTTAATAACTTCATCAAATCAGTTTAAAATTTTAAATTACTCACGCCACAATCACTATATCGTCTCCAAAAGCAGATGTTCTATGGTATGCAGCGCTATCCCCAGCTGCACATGTTGAAGCCTAACAAACCATTTCAGAAGAAATAAATTAAAATTAAATTAAAATCAGCTAAATAAAATAAAGCAAAAATATTTACAAAATTAAGAAGTGAACTGAAAAGAAAGTGGATAAACTTACAGAGAGAGCAGCAGATTCATAATCTGGAGAAGAAACAGAAGAACTGGGTCTCAAATGCTGAAGCAGAACCTTCTGTCTGTTGAGTGCTTTATCCATCTCTCTCTCTCTCTCCCTCCTCTCTTTCTCTCTCTAGAAAATGGAATGCAGAAAGCTCTCCTTGATCAATACAATTTGTTGAGCAGCAAAAAAAATATGCAATGGTTTGTGGGAATTTATAGGAATTATGATTAATAAGATCGACCCTTGAAATTTCCAAGTAAGGACTTGACCAAAGAGACCAACCCACTTCGTCAAATTGCGAAATGGAAGGGCACTGAAAGATGCCAATATTATACTCCATTTCAGAAGACCACGAGTAAGCCACCAATCACAATAATTCCCACGTTTTCCACTGAAACCAACCACAGCGACCATATACATTTTTGCTTTTTCATTCTTCTAGGAAAATACAAGGAACCAAACCAACAACTCTCACGTCTTTCCACTATTGTTCTTTTTTTTTTTTTTTTTTTATGGATAACCCCATTTTACTTCTAACACATCTTTGATAATTTCTGTTCGTTGATCTTCTTCAATTCATCCGATCCGACGGTTGAAAATTAAAAAGATGCGTGAGAAGTAAAATGGGGTGTATGGATATCACACCCTTATCGAGAATTGATTTATGCATGTTGTGTGTTTTTTTTTTAAATGAAACTCTCCATAGACTTTTTGAGTATACCATGCAATAGCTCAGTTGATGCCTCTCCCCCAACAACCTTCAGGTTTTTTTTATGTGTTTTGACAAAACGCATTTTGGGAACGAATATGAATTTCCCCACTTGAGGCCAATTTAAAAACGTTTGGTGGGTGTGAATCCACTTGAGGCCAAAATCATTGACTCAGGGGGCTGCTGTGCAATTTCGTTTTCCATACTTCTTTCTCAAAAAATATTAAAAAAAAAAATATTTTAAATATTATTATTATTAAGAGGGAGAGGAAGGTTCGAAATGAGGAGCTTAGATAACGCATGAATTGGAATACAACTCACTATCTACAAAGATATTTGACCACATGCTTAATCAAAAATCGAAACTAGGGCACAATAAATAGACAATAAGCCATATATAACACGGTTAGGTACTCCTTTACTGTCAATTAGTGTCACTCCAATTCTATTTTTATTAAAAAATTATAATCGGTTTTATTTGTACATATATCTCCTAGACGAAGAGCCATCGTCATCAAAGGTTGGTGAACGCACATTTTATAAATCAATAAGAGAGAAGGACAAGGTAAAAGGTAAACCAGACAAAGTCCTATCATTTCTGTGTAGATATACATATGGACAATCGTTTCTCCAGCAAAAATACATTGACACCAAACTTAGCAGAAAAACTGTCGATCGCCTCTTCCCAGCATGCTAGTATGACCCGGTGTTATTTTACAAAAGAATAAAAAAATTATGTAGTCTTTTATCAACAGAAGAGCAGATCAATACATCGACGAATTGTGGGGATGAATTGATTGCCGTCAAAGTTTTGATCATCAACCGGAAGGGTTTCCGTTGGAGATATTTATAATTCTGGTACCTGGCAAGAATGTCAGACATTGGGTTTCATCTGTCTTGTCTGATTGCTAGCTACCTTCGCCTGAAGTGCGTTGGACATAGCTCGCAACCTGTTAGTTATCTCGGTGAATGATGGACGGATGTCAGGATCAGGTGCCCAGCACTGTTCCATCAGGTTCTTCCACTCAGAATCACAACGTTCTGGAATAGGAGGTCGAAGAGTGTTCTTCACAATTCCACCTTCGTTCACAAGTTTACAATCAGTTGAAAAATTAAGATAAAGATTCGAAGTATCCATGTTAATCCTAGTTCAAAGCAAGCAGGGGAAAGATATTTAAAACAGATCCAATGAGATTTTTCAGCCAACGAAATTTCTTCATTTTATTTGCCATCAGTACCGATGATATTGATAATTAGGTCCATGACATGAACTTACCAATGATGGCACCGCAATGCATATTGGCATATGGTTCCTCCCCGGTCAAGATCTCCCACATTGAAATTCCAAATGAGAAAACATCAACCTGTCAAAATTAATACCATAGCGTTAATTACAAGACAAACAATCGTCTTTGCCTACAACATTGCTGACATATATATAAAGTCATACTAACCTTCTCGGAAACCCGGATGCTGCTGCCATTTAACAGTTCTGGTGCCATCCAAGGAAGAGTTCCTCGCACACCACCAGATACCAAAGTATTGCGTTTGATTCTCGATAAACCAAAATCTCCAACCTAAAAGATCAATCCCCAATCATCAGCATTAAAGAAAAATCTTTTATCCAAAGTCCCCAGGGAAAAAATCAAGTAATGAAAGAAACATTTTGATATGTGGCTAAAATTTCACATAAAAGGTTCCACAAGGGATACAAAAATGATCACATTCTGACTTCTAAAGAGAAAAGAAAACTCCCACTGGATCTACCCAATTGCATCAGCCAGGAAACTTTTGGCACCATAAAAGTCTACCTAGTTTTAAAAAAAAAATCCCAATTCTGCTTAAGGAATTTCAAGGTCTCCGGAATTGTACAAGGACTACAAAGAAAAATGCTTTCTAATAAAGTGCTTTTACGCCAATCCCCGAACATGAAACTTGGTTCCAGACTAACTTACCTTGCATATAGGTCGTTGAGGATCCCTCAAGTTGACTAGCAGATTGTCACACTTTAAATCAAAATGGACAATATTCTTTGAATGCAAGTATTCCATGCCAAAAGCTGCATCCATGGCAATTATAAGCTTTCTACGACGGTCAAGTGATCTGCATAGGAATTCCATGTTCTAAGATGCATAAAAACTTTAAGAAGCAAAAATGAAAATAAATGATAGAAAAATTACCTATCCTTTTTTAGTAGGGCATGCCTCAGTGATCCATTCACCATGTACTCAGTCACAGTTGCCAACGTTCCTCCAGCTCCATCAGGTACTACTCCATAGAATGCAACCACATTTGGATGATGGAGAGCTGAAAGGATTTGCGCCTCTCTCCAGAAGTCTTTTGTCTAATACAAGTCAAATGAACAATCAACTTCACATGCGTGTCAAATGAAATTAAAAATTTTCGCAAAAATTTACAGATTGTCCATAACGCACACAGTATATTCCAGATAAAAATGATACACTTGTTTTAAGGCAGACGGTGTATGTTATAATAGATGCTAGAAGCCACAGCATGTCATATTACTCAAACATTTAATGTCACGAGTTATTGTCAATAAAACAACCAAAGATGTTAACTTTTCTCAACACCAACTGTGCAGGTACTGGGAAAAATAACAAAACAAATTTGTTCAGGAAACCCACCAATCGTTCTTGCTCTGATGATCTTCCTGCAAAACAGCTCTTTTTTATTCGCTTTATAGCAACATCTGTTCCCCGCCATTTTCCATGATAAACAGTTCCATATGTACCAGATCCTAATTCCCGTAATTCTTCAAGATCAGCATTTTTTATAATCTGGATCACATTTAGAAAATTCAGTTGCATAAAGAAATTAAACTTCTATAAATTCCCAAAAAAATGCTGGAAACTGATCTATTTACAAATCAGAGAGCATTTCAGTAATACTATTATCTCAAGGAGCGACACAATACTACCTATCTACACACATATGAGAAGTTTACATGCGCATGAGTGATAGTTGTCTGCACCACACATCCCTTTGTTATCAGTGAATATATCTCTCTATACAGACTACATATCTACGCTCTTAAGAGGCAAGAGGAGTATGAACCATCTGTTCTCATTAGGGATTTAGGAGACTAGAGAAACATTGAAATGAGAATCATTGCATTTACCAAGAGACGACCCATCATATATAATCATCAGATGCTATACTTTTTCAAGGGAATTTAAAAAACAATGAACTCTTTCTTCTTTTAAGAAATAAATGATCAGAGCTTTCAATTAATACAATGATTAGTATCCTCAAAATTGACCCACAGCAAAAAACCTCTTCAAGAATTTTTTTTATATATAGAATGCTGCAGCATAAAGAGGTCGCACTTGGTGCGATGGCAAGTGCCTTCGCCCATAAGCGGTAGGTCTCGGGTTCGAGACTTGGGAGCAGCCTCTCCATAAATGGGGGTAAGGCTAGCCGACATTCACCTCTCCCAGACCCTGCGTAAAGCGGGAGCCTTGTGCACTGGGTACGACCTTTTTTTTTATAGAATGCTGCAGCATAAGCTGGCAGCAGCGGGGACTCCAGTCAGCAGATGTAAACTTGTGTACTATAATAAACAAAAACATGTTCTAATCAAGAAGAAACTTAAGACATCAGCGGAATACCTGCAAGCCATAGATGCTGGCTTCCATTTCAGCGATCATTGCATCACTAAATGATTCAGTTTTGTCTTCTTCATCAGCCTTATCATCCTACAAATAAAGCAAACAGTAATTCAAAGTTCAAATCTACAAGTATATACATAACTTGCAAATCAGATACAAACTTCATCAATTTTACCTCATACTCAGACTCTTCATTGACGCTCTCCACCTCTGTTGTAGTAGGAGATATGAGATCACCAACGGGTTCATCCGCAGCATATGGGGGAACTAGTGATGAAGACTGGACGCCAGAAGTAATACCGTTCGTTATGTCTTCCACAATTTTCACCGACTCCAACTGTTTTTTATCATTCCTCATTGTTGGGGGTTTTTTTGGTGCCAAACTAACATCTTCGACATTTGAGCTCAACTTCTCAGCATTCTTATCAGGGTAATTTACAAAGTCATCATCAAGAAGAGAGACCTGTCTTTTAAACGCAACATCTTGAACTGGCTTATGCAACACCATGTGGTCACTCTTTTCCAGTACAGGATCATGAAGAACTGTCACTGGGTGCACATGTGCAGAGTTCATACGCAAGGGTTCTTGGAAACGCATATCCTTTTGACTTGCAACAAGTTCTGGTCGTGCAGGCTCATGGGAAACTTGGCCATTGGACAACCCTGAGATGAGATCAGCCAAAGAATTTTCATCACGAGAATGCTGTTCAGTACTTGGAAATATGCCTGCAACTTCAGAATTCCTGGCCCCTGAAACATCATGCCCTTTTTCACCACTAGGCATCCCTGCCAAAGCACAGTCCTGATCATTGGCAGTTCTTTGACTCGTGACAAGAAGATTGGCAGGGGTTTTGTCGCCCTGGAATCTTTGTGAATCCTCCACCTTCTTGTTTACCAACGGTTTCAAATTAATTGTTGCAGGAACAACAACCCCAGAGGTAAAAGTAG